TGGGGAGCATTCACAGGGCCGAGCGCGCCCCCGGGGCCGGGCGGGAAGGGGAGAGCACGGGAGCACACCGGGAGAGCGCGGGCGGGAGGCGAGGGCTGGCGGGGAAGCTTTTTTCCAAGGGTGTTGCTCATGTCCAGCTCAAACCAGTACAAGAAACCAACCTCCATTTTCTTTATTTTGTGGTTTTTTTCAGACTGTTAAAAAGAAAAAAAATTTTAAAAAGAGAAAATGACAAAAAAAAAAAAAATCCTGGTACATGAAATAAAGATTTTTTTTTTATAACTTGGTCCTCGTTTATGTGCATTTATTGGGGGGGATTTATTGTCCCGCTGTGCCGGAGGAGTACCTGGAAACCCAGCAAGGGAGTCGACTATTGCGGATAGTTTTGTCCTCTTAGGCGATTAAGCGGACAGTCTTGCTTCAACTGCTCTTCTCAAGCTGGTCTTCGAGATACAAGGAGGAAGGACGAGGCAAGAGGAGAGGGCTTTGCCACAACTTTTTTTAAAGTAAGTGCGGGTAAACTCAAGTCACACGTGCTGGCTTTCCCTGCTGCCCTCCAAAACATCTGTTCCAGCTCCCATTTAGCCCCCAGCATGGCCCCTCCTGTCCCGTTCCTCCCAGGGTGGTGTTACCACAAGGGCTGATGCCCCAACTCCCACCCGAAGACAGCGGCTCTCGTGGCAGCAAGCCAAGAACCGCCAGCGAGCTCAGAATTCGCACAGGCTCGAGGGCTCAAAAAGGAAAGAGAAAAGAAAGTGGGCCGAAACGTTGTTTTGGGGTTTTGTTCAGCCACTCATGGGATTTCTGGCGATTTCCTCAGCAGCTGGGTTGGCAGTGGCTGTCTGGTGGAAATGCTCAGCGTCAGAGCCCGGAGTGGGGGGTTATCTACAGCCGGAGCTGCAGACCCAGGAACGGGTGAGGTGGCAGCAGGGCAGGGAGGTGAGAGCCCCGCAAAGGGGACCGGGCTCCCGGCGTGTCCCCTCATGTCCCACCCCACCACCGGCAAGAGATCCCGGTGCCACCAAGTCGCCGAGATCCCCTCGCCCTCCGCTGGGCTCCCGCTTGCCGCAGAACCTTCCATGGCTTTCTGGAGTGGACCAGGATCCCCACCAGTCCCCGTCACCACCAGCTCGGAGGGGTGACAGGGAAGGGCAGCTACCTGAGTGACAAAGCCCCTCCGAAGTGCAGCCAGGGTCTGACCCATGGCGGGCGAGCGAGACTACGAGCTGAATGAGCAGGTAGGACCAGGGGGGTTAATTCGGCAGTGGCAGGGAGGCAGTGGGGTGAAGGCACACCCGGCTCCAGGTGTCCCAGCAGACACCGATGGGTTGCAGTGCAATCACAGCACCGCAGTCCTCCCTGTCGCCCAATGCACCTTGCACAGGTTGATACCGGTGCTCAGTATCTAGATCCCCCAGCTGGCACCTGTGGGTCCTCACTCTGGCCCTCCCCAGCCCC